TTTTTCGTTTTTTAATTACTTTTTGATTAAATTGTTCGTTTTCGACGTTATTGATAAAGTTTTATTGCCTTACATTATATTTTTGTGCGTTATGAAAAAAATAGTCATCCTCATCCCCTACCCCATTTATTAAAAAATGTTAATAACTTCTGGAATACTAGTTCAAAAGTCGTTTTTTATAAATCATTATTTCAATTAAACTTTGTTCTAATTTATTGTGTTGTTAAAACTCTGAAACCATTCGTAAAATTGAAGTTAGCAATTAATATTAATTTATAAATAAAAAATTTTTCCGTTTTATTATTAATTGTATTTTAGGAGAAATCGAATGACTAAAGTCAGTATGATCACCTTGAGTTCGAAAAAAGTTTTTAATCTGTGTTGTCATTGTAGTCATTACAGTTAGTTTATTATTTACTCCCCTGCAATTTTTTCAATTTTAAATACTAGATACACATATAATGTATTTATTATATACACTTCATGTTTTCCAAATTATTGCCGTATTCACTTCTGTTGTCAGAATTTGCACGTTTTTTATTAGAATGTATTAAAAAATGAAAGAAAATAATTGTAAATATTGAAAGCGATTGCGCTAAAATCACAATCGCTCATATGATACTAAGTAACTTTTAACAAGTTATATCAGATAAATAACAACTAATATTTTATGTGTTGTTCTATCCATCGTTATAATTTTAGAAGTCCCCATGATTAAATAAACATTGGACAGTGAAACATAACGAAGCCTCAAGTCCATACAATTATCATATAACAGGTATATTTTTTTTTACAATTTCTATATTCCATTTCAACATGAGTTCGTAGAAACCATAATGTTGTAAGTGATTATGTAAATGACCCTAAAATTGTTCATATTCATCAAAAATGTGAATTTCGTTCAGGTTTTATTTGAAAAAAAAATCAATAACGTTCACTAAATGTGTACGTGAGCGCGTGAACGTACATCATAGACGACGTTCTTTCCAAACATTAATATTAAGACAATATTTGGTTATTTCGTGGAACTTTCAAGTAGTACAATTTAATTTATTTCATAAAATTTGTTTATTTTGTTGTTTAACATTCCATCATAGAGGATAATTAATGTTTTATTTATTCTGCATATTTTTTGTGCTTTCTGTTTAAAAATATATATTTAGAAGCAGATTAAACAAAAAAATAAGTCATCAAGACAATTTTGTTTTTTCAAAGATAGTTAATAACATAAATTTTAATTTAATGTATATTTAAATGTGTTAATATTTTTAACACATGACGAATGTTTAAAATGAAAAAATCAAGTTTTTATTCTGATATTTCATGGTTGTACAATACTCTTTAACAAAAGAAAATAGACTTTCAGAAAAAAGTATACGAATAAAGAAACAAATGATAAATGCATAATTTAGAAAAAAATCGTTTTGATTTAAATATTTTTAACGCGTATTCAGGTAGCTAAATTTTTGAAAAATAACAGTACGAAAAATAAACTGCAAATAAGAGTAAAAATTTTTAGCAATAGAATTATGATATCACTTTAACTAGTATTTGATATGCGCATCTGAAATTCGACATCACGTGTTATCACTATTAAAATACCAATAAGACAGTAATACATAAAAAAATTGAGGGAGCTAATGAAGTATTTCAATATCTAGAATATGTTGAATATAAAATCGTCTACATTTTAATTTGAATTGATGTATTTCAATATTGTTAATGTTTTTTCATTGAATGTGATTTTGATTATTCCATTCAATTGAATAGCTTATGAATGGTAATTCTTTTAATTAATTTTAAAAAATCATTACATAAAGACGGATATTAAGTAAATTACATAAAATTTGTATGTCGCGTTCGGAATTTTATGTTGCGATGTAACGAAAATTACGTCGAATTTTCTCAAAGAGACGAACAAAGGCGGTGGCGTTTGAAATAGTAGTTTGATCAACATATAAAAATATCAAGATTAAATCTGAATTAGGGACGAGCAGCGGTCAATAAAAAAAACATCTGTTGACGTAGCGGTCACAGCATTAGTTATGTGCACAACAGTTTACACAAAAATATGTGTTTCGATTATAGGAATAAAGTTGTCACTGAAACATTTAACGAAAAAATAAGATAACATTAAGTAGTTGTTGGAACTTTTAGACAATTAAAAGTTCATTTTTTAAACATGATGAAAGTATAAATGATTTAGGAAATTGGCGACAATAAAGAAATATAACTGTATTAAAGTCTTAAATTTAGTGGTCCTTTCTGATTTTCTAGAATACTGATTTTTATTAGCTACGATGGAAAGTGAAGAGGCATTGGATTTACTATGAGGTGTATTTTTTTTTATGTTTGTCCATGAACATTGTTATCTCTCACAGGACCGATTTTGTTAGTTTAAAAGCTCAAAATTCTAATCTAGTTAAACTAATAAGTACGAAAATATGACAAAACCCACAATTTTAAAATTGTTTCGAATTATGACCAAATTTGTGTACTTTTACGTCATTGTCGTATAACAACTATTAGTGCATCTGTTACAATATTATCTGTATATTTTTTATGACAAACTTATAAATTATAATAAATAAAATAAAGCTTAAACAAATAAAATTATATATAATATTTCTTCAAACTTTATAAAAATGACAAAAAACTATTTTTATTTCATTATTTTTAATTGAAAAATTGTTTATTAAGAAAAAAAAAAAATTACAGTATTGAAAACGTCGGAAAATGTGTTTAAAAAACATTTCCATTGCTGCTTTTATTATAACATTATTATCTACACAAACACAAGGATCCGTTGAAAATTTAAACAAAATGTTTAAAAGAGTCGAATGGAATTCGATTGTCTTTGAAATGAGTATCATAGAGCACAAAGGTAAGCAGCAAAATAAACTGACTTTTGATCAATTATTTCCAAAAGGAATTGACGGTAGTGCGTTTACTGCTACTACAGAAAACTTTCCAATAATATTACATCAGACATATCATTTTCTAAGTTGTAATTTTGCTAAAATATTATATGATATTTGCAATCTGTATAAAAGTTACTGGGAAAAATGCACTTCATTTGCAGATCAACACGAAATGAATCTGTGTCAACAATCGTACACAAAAAATGTGCAACGCTTTTTGGATGTGCAAATTATTGGAAAAATTTCTGAAAAAATGAATGACTTACTAAACAATTTAATAAGGGAGTCTGGTGATAATATGAACGATACAGACATTTTAAATGCAATAAAAAAACTTAAAGAATTAGAAACTATATTAGTAAACTTTAATCAATCTAATAATAATGATATTAATAAACTACTTGACGAAATACATAGAATAGTAAAATTATTTATGCAAAATCAATGTTGGTTAACAAAACCTAACAAATTGAACTTCGTAATCACAATTGATGGAGATATAAATGCTAAAAGTATAGACGAAGCTACAATCAAACTAATGAAATGTATACAACATATCTTGTACTCTAAATACTTTCCTTTAAATTCGGCATTTACACCTATTTCATTGTTTGATGATTATACCGATATAAACAATGATAGTAAATTCTGTAAATGTTTATTATTTTAAATATATTTAAATTGAAATAAAGGCTAAACCATTATTGTTTCTCCTTTAATAATTATTAAAACCTTATATTCTGTGGCAATTTTCGTAATGCTATAATAATAACTATGATCAATTTATAAAGGGATCCGCAAACAATCTGTGCACGTGCTTCCTTGTGTTGCCTTGAATTATTTTGCCATATATACATAAATATATTGTTTAAATAATAAAGTATACTGTCTGAATAACAATTTAAAAACTTCAAATATACGTGTCATTAATAATATTAATACATCTAATAAACAATATGAAAAAAAACACAAAACAATTACGTCTTTGTTAAAAACAACTGTTAGTCAGAAAAACAAAAATTTTTATGGCAAATCTAACATTTTAAGAATCAATATTATTTATGAATATTCCGATAACACAAAGAAAAACAGTAAAAATAAAATAAAAGCAATTTAACGGATAATTTATTCATGTACAATAATTCTCCTAATTGCCAAGAGTGTGAGTTGGCAACCAACGCTCATTTTTACCCATAATTCGAAGTTGTGTTGCAGTCAAAAACTCTCTCTTAATAATTTTTGTACAAAGTGTATTTAATAATTAAAAAAAAAATTGCACGCAACTTGACCTCTAAAAACTAAGTTTAAAAAAATTCATTATATCAAATTGTTTTAATAAAGAGTGGGACGTGGAAAAAACACCATTAGATAGTATTGAAGATTAGTTATTTTTTAATTTTTAAAAACAAAATTGACTGATATAGAGCCCCATTTTATTGAAAAATAACACATATCTTTTTATTTATTCCAATCTTTGAAACTATTGGGACAAAATGATAAAGAATAAAAAAAATATTCAAAAATACACTGCTATACAAAATCAATTTCAAAAAGTTCACGTATTTTCGAATTTGCTATATAATTTTGAAATATTGTTAAAAACGAGAGTTCATACTTATTTTCATGTAACCACCAATGAGTTGTCAATTTTATGTGAGTGTACATTAGGGTGTCCCTTATTTTGAAAATTTTGGAAATTCCTCGGGCTCACCCCCCAAAATTATGTGTATACATATAAAAAGTGGCTACAAAAAATTCCAGGCCGATCAGATAAGTTTAACCCGTGCCGACTTNTTATGTGTATACATATAAAAAGGGGCTACAAAAAATTCCAGGCCGGTCAGATAAGTTTAACCCGTGCCGACTTGGGGTTGAAAATCGGGCAAAAGGGGTACTTTTTTAGTTTTTAGCAATTAACTCGTAAATTAGCACTCTCACAAAAAAAAATATTAAAACTAAATTGTAGATCTAATTGTTTTGTATAAATTAAGTCCTTACAGTTTCTAAATATATTTACAGTTACTAAATATATGAATTTTATTGCTTAATTTAAATATATTTCCTTTATATTGTAAAGTGATGTATTTGTTTGACTTAAACTCATAATGATACTTACTTCTCAATATTATTGTATAAATTAAAAAAAAGTTACTATATAAAATACAAAATGTTAAATTCAAAATAATTCACAAATTATAACAAAAATATACATTAAAAACTATGTTTTAATGTTTTTTTGTTGCAATTAGGATATAATATTCTATGCTCTTGAACACACAGTGTAAAAGTAACTCAGCTTTTTCATCGTTTACAGTTAAACTTTCATGAAAATCTTCCATTACCTTAACCGCTTTATCTGCAGAGTCATTTACTACTTTAAGTGAACATACAATTTCTTTTTCGTGTAAATAAAAATTATCAGTATTCCAATTACTTGGATCCAAATTTAAAAAATTAGTATTGATATCGAATCGTTTGAAAAATTTCATACTGCTTTTTGACAAAAAAGAAGCTACAGTTTTTTCTAAAAAAAAATATCAATCACTCAATAGTCATCAAAAAATAATGATATCAAAAATTATTATACCTGAAAATGATTTGTCAATATGACTCGATGAAAGAATAAAACGTTTACTAGGGTTTATTATTGACTCATTATTAAGGGATACAACCATTAATTTTTTTATTTCGGTTGAAATGGAATCGTCCATTTCCCAGAAAATATTACACTCGCGAATAGTCAATACTGCTTTTGCTCTTATAGTAAGATTAACAATTCTTAGGTTATAAAAAAAAACTTTTAGAACTTGTCCAATGGATGGAAGTTTTGAACCTAAAATTTGAGTAGTCAAAGACCCTATTAAAAATATTTTATTGTCATTTCTTAATACTACGGACATTTTTACGTACACTAAAAGAAAAACACAATAGGAAGCAGTTCAACTTAATACGCGATGTGAGCGACTAAAGTGGTATAAGTATAAGTTCACTATATCTATTGCTGCGATTTGTAATAAATTTACGATTTCCAGAGTTATTTATAATTTAAAAATAATAACAATACATTAATTCAGTCATACCATAGTATTATAGCCGTACTTGTACGATAAGTGTTGTAATAAACCAGATGATAACTAACAGAATCTAGCATTAAAATTCATATATTTAGTAAAAATCGTAATATGATCGAGTTAATTCAGCTATAGCAATAAAACGATCGGTTCAATGAAATTTGTACTTAATACTTTTATTTCGTAAAATTTAATTTTAAACAATTTTTGTATGAAACATTAGGTCGTATCACATATGGTTCGTCATATATGATAAAATATTCGTAAATATGCTAATTTCGGCAATTTTACGAAATATTATGTATTTTGACATTTTTCTAGAAAACTAATGGACTTAAAAGAAAAACTGTAAGGACTTAATTTATACAAAACAATTAGATCTACAATTTAGTTTTAATATTTTTTTTTGTGAGAGTGCTAATTTACGAGTTAATTGCTAAAAACTAAAAAAGTACCCCTTTTGGCCGATTTTCAACCCCAAGTCGGCACGGGTTAAACTTATCTGATCGGCCTGGAATTTTTTGTAGCCACTTTTTATATGTATACACATAATTTTGGGGGGTGAGCCCGAGGAATTTCCAAAATTTTCAAAATAAGGGACACCCTAGTGTACATATATGTAAGAAATATAAAAAAAATTGTATACATAACTTTAAGTTTGATTAAAATCCTAATCTATTAATGATAATTTTTGCATGAACTAGTAAATTATATTATTTTTGGCACACTGAATACATCATATTTTTAAATCATTTTTAGTTTTAAAAAGGGTAAACATTTTATATAAATTATGTTATAAATATCCGACAAACCTACAGACAACTTAATTATTATTTAGTATTAAAATAAATCGATATAACGACTTAAAAATGTTTTTTTTCTTATAGTATTTTTCGTGAATAACGACTACAAAATGAAATATTTTTTAAAAAGGATCTTATAAAACATTTGTGGCAAGTAAATGCATTTAAAAATTACACGTTTTATACTGTTATTTGTAAAATTATGTAAAAGGTATATTTATTTTTTTGAATAAAAATGTAATATTCTAAGTAGCGTCTCTAACGAATTAAAAACAAAATATTAATAGAAGTGTATAATTAAAAATGTTTAAAAATTAATATTCGTTTTAATTATATCCTTTATTCTCTTAAATATTCAAAAGAAGTTTTCAATTTATATAGTTAATTACAGTAAATGTTTTAAAGTCAGCCATATAATAACTGATAAACCGAACCAGTTATTACAAAAAGAAAATTAAGTTTATAAATTTAAAACGAATATTCATAGATATGAAAACGTAATTAAAAATTAACTGATATACATTAACATTATATATTCAACATATATACTCAACTATTTCCAAAACACTTTGACAACAGCCATTTTAGTGTAACTGATGAAAATAGAAACATAACACTAAAAAATGTGTATTCAGAGTGATTGTTAAACTATAACTCACTATTATACATTATCATTATGAAACATAATGAAATCCTGTCTGATTTCCCTTTATTTATACTACTGTATTTATTATATAAACTTAAGTATATTTATTTTAATTTGAACAAGCAACTAAATAAAACACTTATTGAAAATGCAGTAAAAAATACCACAATTCACACATTAATGTTACATAAGAAATTCGATATTGTATTTAACTACAAGGTAAAGACCATAGATTGTGTTTATGCGTTATATTATAAAAAATATTTATAAAATTAATAGCGGGGCGTCATTCAAAATTTACTAGATTGAGCAATTTTTTTAGCAACCCATCATTTAACAGAGCAGCTCACTTCACTCGTGAATTACTTTATATTCCCAATAATATAACCAATAAAATAATTATGTATTAAAAAAAAAAAAATTTTTAATTTCAAAATATATATAAGTTTGAAAATTAAACGCAATATTATATGTATGAAAATAATTTTCAAAATAGAACAAAAATAAATAACAACTATCATTTTAAGTGAAATATATTGATAATTATAGACGATCATGTAAAAGATTTTCTAAAAGGAAATATTTGTTAGAGGAATTAAGCATTTTATCACTGAAGAAAATATATATGATGTTTTTCAAAAATGTATTTCTTATTGAGCTTCAATTATGAAAAAGATACTGGAAAAACAAACAATACAATGTATAAGTGACTTATTGGAAAACTTGCAACCAAATGCGAACAGGTGACAAAGAAGAATGTAAACATTTATCGTTATAATTTGTATTGAGACAATGAAACAACGCTCACAATTCAACAAATTTACTATCCTGCGCTAGCATTTAAGGCTAATAATAATTAAAATCCATCTACTACAATAAACAGCGATAATACTACACATGAAACAATTCTTGAATTTTACTCCAACAGTGAAAAGGGAAAACTCAGGCTTCAGTATTATAAATGAACTTAATGGTTAGCAAGTTTATGGGAAAGCATTGCATTGAAGAAAAATATAATTTCATAGAAAACCCAAATTTGAACCTCTATAGAAAGCCAAATTTTGAACGTAGCTACGGTTCATTAAAGTTTTTTAAATAAATTATATTTCAAAACCAAAAATTCTTCAAAATATTTTGTTTTCAAATGTCTAAAAATAATGTATTATTAAAACTACAAAATTTTTATCACCAAAATATTTATTATTTTTGTTGTAACAAAAGATACACTTTTAATAATTAAAATTATAAATAAATCCTTTTGAAAATTCAAAAAGTTATTAATAATAGAAAATAAGAAATACATTTTTCATGTAAAAATACTAATAAGTAAAATATTACATAATATAGTTATATTTAACTTAAAAATAATTTAAGACAGTTAAGTAACTAAAAGGCACAATAGACTAAATGGTAACTCTGTCGGCCAAAAAAAAAATTATATTATAATCGGTCAAGATTATTAAATGTTACCTGGGTGCAAAAAAACGTCACCAAGTTATCTCATACACATCTGAAACATTCTTAAAATTTCTTTTAAATAGGACACTGTGATGCTTAACATTCGTTTTAGTGAAGTTGATGAATGCGAAATCACAAACCATTTTTTCGAATACATTACTATGTTACCACTATGTGGTGTCTATTAAAGGCACAATACTTCTATGTGGATTTATTTAAATTCTATGTTTAATTTATGCACATACAGTATTAACTTTTAAAAATTTTAATTAATAATTTTGTCTAAGTCTATTCGAAAATACATATCTATAAAAAAGTGTTATCACTTTGAGAATAAAATCAGACATAGAATCAATTTCAACCTCATATTTATGCACACAGGGTAAAAATTTACTTAGTCAAATTAACTTCGTTGTTCATTTGTAGAAATGATTTTGCTATGGTTATGTACAAAAGTGACTTTTTAAAACTTTAAATTAAATAATAAATGCAAATTGTAACAACTAGTGTCAATTGTTTTTTTTAAATGTATACACGTCGAAATATTACAAGTATATTTATGTGTTTATATTGCATAACCAGAGTGCCGGTATACCAATTGTATGTGTTACATTTTTGTAACAAATGTAAATTTCGTGAAGTTCTTAAACTGCTATAAAAATCCAAATAATAAAAACTGTTACTTGAAACTTAAACCGTAAACTACATATGTTGTGAGTATTAACAAAAAATATTATATGAAATTTATGCTGAACGTCTTAGAAATTTTAAATAGGGTAAAATTACATTTAGTAGTCATAAAATAATTTTCTATTTGCGCTTATCAATAAAATATTTACTTTAAAGATCAGCTTAAATTTCTGGTACTTCAACATGATACACGGCTCTTAATGAATCGAATATATATTTAGTAGAATTAATTGTATTTTATAATGAACAAAACTAAAAGTATTCACACTGCTTTTACTGGCCAAATGCTCGTTTTATGAAAAATATAATATAATTATATAATAATTCATATATTTCACTAAAAAACAAACATACAATATACACATTGTTATATACATTACGGCGGTCTCTGCATATTAAAATATATAATAAAGGTTACAGCATTTAAAAATTAATTAAAACTATCTTATCATATAGGGTAGATTGCGAATACACAATAAAAAAAAATTACGGATAATAGTAAGTCACAGACAGAGAAAAGAAGCGCATTGAAATTTCTTTAGACCCCGCGGACATATAACTTAAATAAAAAAAAACAGTCGGTAACGAGTTACGCGCACTAAAATTATACGACTTTAGACAATAAACAACAATGCGTAATCAAATTTAGAAAATCTAAAAACATATAGTAAAGTAACATTGTTGAAAAATACTCGAAGGAATATTGTTGGGTATCATGCGTAAAGTATCTGTGCAAGAAGATGCTCCTGTGGTGCAAAAATCGAAAAAAACCGATCGATGGTTAAAATAAATGCGATGGCAGTCATGAATTTGACTAGCAGCCCACTCCAAATAACGATGATATTCATAAGCCTTCGTACAATTTATAAAGTTATAATTTTTAAAAATTATTATTATTTAAAAGTCACGCACATACCCGTGTATACAATTAGCAGCCATCTAATCAATAGCATCGGGATAACAAAATAAAATATATATTTATATAATTATAAAAGAATACACCGAAGTGAGAAGGACTTTTTTTTTTTTAATACGTTGCTGGAACTCATACTCGAGACTCGATGCGGCCGCATGCTTCCTTGGCTATGACCACAGCGTCGTTGCTATTGATTCGCAACGACGAAAGAGATGAAGCCAAACACGAGTTGCTGAAACTTCCGTAAGTAGATCCATATCGGTGGAAAGATCCTGTTGATGGCGTCGTTCGATGAGGATGACCATTTATTGTGTACACTACTGGAGTTTTACTATTTGGTCCGTTATTCTTTTCGGGTGTACTCTCCTGATCAGCAAAACCAACAGTAGAGTCACTCAAACCATTTATTTTGTCTTTAGATTTTTCGTCGGTAAATACAAATATTATCAAAGCTAAGCCCTGCAAAAAAAATCATTTTTAAGCTATCAATTCACAACTGTTTTGGTTTCTATCAAATAAGATACGTTATGTTTAATTTGACAAGACATCTATTTTATAACTTTATCTGACTTTATTTTAAAAATAACTAACAAAAACTTATTGTGAGAATTTTTATTTTCTAGTTAGACTAACCAAAGCAGCATGTAAAAGAATTTCAAAATATGTTCCTTGTTCAAATCCAACTAAATCATATAGAGCTCCGGCAATGGATGGACCTAAGAAAGCTCCCAGTGCAAACGACGAAGACCATATACCGGATAAAAGCCCATAAGTATGTATATCGTTGGCAAAACCTGCATTGCTAAAAGTATAAAATTCCTTTCTTAGATGCCTAAAAAAACATTAGTGATCGATACTTACAAGGCAGCATTCATTGAATCGACAAAAGTGGGAACACATATCGATCCAAGAGCAAATCCTTGAATTACAAGACCTGTGACTACTAAAAACATTGATCTGAAACAAATGATAATTATACTTAAATTAAATACAATACAGTTTACTCGTCAAATTTTAATAAAGCCTTGAAAAGAACCAGACATATTTTTTATAAAATTTATTTTTTATGAGTTTCGGTTTATATAGTCTAATTAAACTAACAAAATTGTTAGCTTAAATGAATGGGCTAAATAATACACTCTCTAGGTCAATCGCTTAACTTACCAAAAAAATTATTAAAAAACATTTCGAAATTATAAAACCAATATTTACAAAACTTCAGGTAAATTACGATTTTTCTAAATATTAACAATGCTCATAATTTATATAACCATTGTTCACAATTTTGATTCAATTACTTATACATAACATAAAAGTTTGGAATATAAATCTACCTTATTGATTATTACAAAAAATATGTTTCTTTTATTATGGAAAATAAATTATTTAATAATATATGTATCAATACATATAACATTTTTCACACTTATAGTACAAAGTAATTTAAGCTGAATTAAATCTTAAAAGAAAACTATGAATATTTTCTCTATTAACTAATATACAACAGCATAAATTAAAACTACTAAGATTTTTTATTAGACTGAACTAATACATGTTTAAATGTGTAGAAAAAAAAATTTATTATTCTGATTAAAACGTTATAAATTAGAACACTAGCTTAAAATTTTGTATCTGATTGACACTATCTCTGTATTTCTACAACTCTATTAGACAATACTAGTTAACAATACTAATAGAATAGATAAAATACTAAAAAAACGATATTTAAATTTCATGTGTTGCCCTTTTGTTATAAAAATTAGGCGATATAATAAACGAAATCATTCAAAGTTGATAAATAATTTTTTTCATTTACTACGCAATAAATTTAATGATACTTAAGACAAAAATAAATTAGAAAAAACATTTAATTAGCTCAATATCTTAAACTAAATACATTTAAAAAACGTAGAAAGCTATTTTAATTAATACGTAAAAAGTACTTTTATCCATAAGATATAAATTATTTTAATAATATAGACAAACATTGTACTACTTAAACTGTGTTAATTTTTATCACGAATATAAACCGTGCCCACATCATAATCTCTATGCACGAAGAAAATTAAGTGCTAAATATAATTTTATTTTATAATTTTAGAATTGCAACATTGAATTGTTTAATCTCGTAATCTCATGTTTATGTTTATTTGAGAACAAAAATATTATTGTATGTTGACAATAGAAAAAATATACTATCAAACTTTGTATAAGTAATTAATACCTCACTGCATATTTCATATGAGTCGTACAGTTTCAAAAGGACGTATTTAAAAAAAAATGTTTTTTAATTTTGCTTTTTCCTGACAAACTAGCTTCAAATAGAAAAAAGCAAAACAAAAATAAAATTTATTAGCTTACGCTCTTTTGAAACTGGACAACTCATATTTAATATTGCCCACCCGTTGTAATGTAATACTACAAAGACAGTCGATTGTTCTCAAATTTTGCTCGTGTCAATTTGTAATTTGATGATCTAGTGTATAATACAGAAACGATTTCAATAATTGTACGATAAAAAACAATAATCAATACGAAGTGTACAACATCGTTTTTGTTTCACTGTAATTTATCTGTTGGCTAATAATAATTGTTTATCCCACAACTGAGACAATGCATCGCTAAAAATTTACGAATTGCTCTAAATTATCTTAAACAATTAAACAAAAGAAAATGTTATGAAAAAAAATTATTCACGTCTTGGTGTCAGATAGTTATTTATAATTTTATTAAATAATTGCGCATTTATTCAAACGAAATAAAAAATTATACAAATTCATAACGATAAAGGCAAACGCGAGTTCAAGAAGTCGGATAATTTTGATAGTAACATTGTATATTTATTCGTTTATTGATACTACAACAATTCTAATCTAGATTGGTAATTTATATTAAAATGTGCACTAATTATTTTCATTAAAGTAGTATAATATTAAGTATTTAAATTTCAGTATATTATAATGTGACCTATTGATGGTCCAATCACCTAATCAATAAGTGTTCAACGTTGGAATTTCCTTGTGTCTTCCTATTACGCATCTGTATAGCTATTATTAATGATATTCAGATAATTAAATTCCCTTAATTTTCGAATGAATAATTAATAATTTTAATATTCTTAAATGTGAATTATACAGAGTGTTCAAAAAGTAAGATAAACAGGTCCATTGTTACAAACAATGAGAATAACAGAAAACAGTTTCCTTTCTTACTAAAAACCCTTATATATTTCATTGTACCCATTATTCAGAATATATCTGGTGTCTACTAGCTATGTTATATGAATTTCTTAATCAATATTAAAACCTACACATCTATTTAAGAATTAAGACACGCACAAAAAAAAAAAAATGACTACATGAACCATAAATTTAAGATTATAGTTGAGTTTAATCGACCATTAGTGAAATAACTACACATTACTTAAACCTAACTATTTTTAATATTATTGACATACATTTTTTTCCGTTCATTAGCTGTTGTTTAAGTCTATTCATTAGGTATTAACGTGGCTATTCAGTGTCGCAATCCGAAAAAATCGAATAAGACACCACATTAACTTTTTAATTAAGCCTATTTGTTTCATTAACAAAATTGTCAACAATATTTGGAAATGAAACACGTGCCCATAATACTTTTATTGTTCAATTACTAGGTTTTTTCATGTTTTTCTGTTAATAACAAAGTTCTAACAGATCTTAACAGTAAAAATTATATAGGGATGACTAAGTATGATATCGCTGATAACTTAATTGTATAGGAGAATTGTCATTTATGATTATAATAATTTAAATTTTTACGATTTTCGATGCAATGAATAATTATTATTTAAAGGTAATATTAATCCTTATATGAATTTATAAGACCTTTGAAATCCCTAAAATTTCATACTAAACTGTTCACACTTAACTATTTATTAAGTTAATACAACTATTTTTTTACGATGAGTGTAAAGTTGATTTAACAGACAATATTATATCACTATAATGGTACTTTTTTAATTTTAACTCTACAAATATTATACCAAGAGTATGTTTAATTCGTACTTGTCTAAGGGCATGTATGGCGCTGGTCCGACGATAGAGTAACTAATTACTGTCAATAATGTGCCAAAAATCATAATTTTCTTTGGGTTGACACCAGTGTCGCAAATGTATCCGATCATAGGCGCTACTAGAGCATAAGTGCCACCGCTAATGATAAACACAAATCCAACATCTACGGGCGAAAGTCCAAACTGCAAAACACATAATGTTATACTATAAAATTAATAAAATAATGAAATTCGATTTTTTATCNTCCAACATCTACGGGCGAAAGTCCAAACTGCAAAACACATAATGTTATACTATAAAATTAATAAAATAATGAAATTCGATTTATTGCGTACAATATTTTATTGAATTACACTTTGGTCACTATTGTTATGATTTGAGAAAAACAAGTCCAAAGAGAAGAAACATGCGAAAAGTTTGAATACAGAAAACAGTCTATTAGATATTTTACTAAATTTTGTATTTTAAATCCTAATTTTGTATGTTCACTTGAATAATAGAATTTTTTTTTTCAAATAATATTTCTAATTTTTTTAAATTCTTTCATAATAGTTTCAGCTTGAGCACTATATTTATTTTTTAAATTCCCTTAAGATAAAAGATTTTTTGATATAAATAAACGTATTTAAGAATTTTACGCCATAGGTAAAAATAATAAAACGCGCCCACTTGATCAAAATTTCGACAGCAATATGTTTAAAAATTATATATCTTAAGAGTAGATCAGTGCATTATGCGATTTTCTTAGCATCTAAAGCATTAAATGTATACAAAAAAAAAATTCGCTCATAGATATAAGTGTTGTATATTTTTTCGGTCATACGCCAGAAACGCCCCCAACAATTTCAACGTCCGGGAAAATGTTCCCCCGCATTCCTCCTTATATATGTCTCTGGGTAAATGTGCAGAATAACTTACAGACAATAAGGTCATTTTTGTACATATAATTTAAGTCAAATACAGAAAATATAATATACGTTTAATTATAAATGTATGCATAGAGCCACCAAAATTGCTTAATCAAATGTAAATAAACATTAAAAAAGCCAAAGTCCAGAATACCATATGAATTATTAATTTAAAACCAGTTTTACTTTCCAACTTCGGGCATAGATTAAAATTAAATGGAAACTTTGTCATTTATAAAATGTTAAATGAATTTTAGACATAATGTGATCTTGATTTTAGTTTAAAGGGCAATAATTTTTTACAAGGTTAATGAATAAAATGTTTACTTTTTAACTAGCAATTGTGCTTTGTTTTACAACCATATTATATCTCATTGTAAATAATAATAATAATTACAACAATTTAATACATTTTAATTAAGAAGTACAAAGTAAAAGTTAATTTGATGTTCTTAAATTGTTTGTCACTGACTTGGATTTAATTTAAAATGTAAATATTGATTTAAAACAAAGATTTGGACAGAAAAAAACACTAAACACTATTCATCAAAAATACATAAATAAAAAAATATTTTTTTCATTTTTCAATAGTTAGTAGTTAGAAGTAATTTGAACAAGTTTCGCGTAATTATAATTCATTTGCAATACTAATGATAACTCTTAATTTATTATTTTTAAAAACGCTTTTAAATATAATAACATACCGGTCTAATATGTGGTTCGAGTGTAGCTGAATAATAGCCCATGGCTGTGGCTGTTATTACAGTTGCCACCGAGTTTATAAATACAGTAGGAACTTTCATGAGATGCGTCACTTTAGCTATCAAACAAAATAAACATAAAATAAACGTAAACAAAAGTTTAGATGATCTATCTCACTCTTAGCCTTGTTCGGGCTAGGGACGTCTTGTTTCATTATTATGCAAACTAGGAACGACGTGCCAAGGGTTATCAGACCCATAACAATGAAAGGAAGAGGAAAACCTCCTACCTGTTGATGTCATAAAAAATTATATAAAATCAAATAAAACAAATTAATAGTTCAAAAAATGTAAGTATATTTACCTCAAATAGTAGAGCACCAAGTGTTGGACCAACAATATAACCCATACCATAGAACACTTCCAAAGCCGACTGTAAATATTAATTTTTTTAAATATAACGTATCTAATTTTAAATCTACCTGTTAGTTTTAAAATATTGTTACTACATTTACAGTTTTATAATTTAATAAAAAAAATCTTCAAATATATTCACAATCATTTTTTAACACAAAAAAATGTATCATACTACTGAACTAAAATTATGCTTATATACAGGAACATATTTTATAGGGCCAGTATTTATGTTAATACAAGAAAGACTTTTTTATTTTTTTGTTCGCGACTTTATAAGTAAATCACTTACAAAAAAAAATTATCAGAATATCTACACGCTAAAATTTAGCACAAATCATCCTCTTTTCACACAAATGGATATCTATTTACACTCCTACTTGAACTTAAAACAAGAATGAACAAATATGATTGATAAAAGTCATATATGAACTAGCTAGAAACCTGTCAGTGAATTTATGTAATAATGTTTTCTTACATATTAATAAGTTTCTTGAGATAACCAAAATTTCGATTAGATCAAGAAAATATTTACTTTAATTTTATAAACAACTATGTGTATAAATATTTGAAATAAATTAAAAATTTATCATTAAAATATACTTACAAATGTGCTTGCTACTGACTCGGGGAAGGAAACAGCTGTCAATGAAAAAGCAGCTACCATAGCACCGGTGGCACCGAGTGACTCCAATACTCGCAGTATCAGTGATAATATTAAGAATATATTACGATCGTAAATGTAAGTCAAATACCTTAGAAATAATTTTCATTAAAAGAGACTTTCCAATGCTTCATTTGTAAAACAATCAATGTACAGCACTATGATTAATCGACTTACCCAAAAGCTATGGTAGAGATGGCATTTAACACGATTCCCAAAACTAACAGGTATTTTAACCCAACTCTTTGAATCTGCAAAGTATAAAATCGAATTTCTTATTATGAATTAGTAAACTATAATAATTTAATGAATTCTGTATCACTGTAATAATAATTCCCATTTAATTCTTCTTGATTCCTCATACTTTTTTGACCAATAATTTTTACGCCGGCTGTCGACCTGACGCAACCTCATTCGTCGCCTCTTACGACTGGCAGAGGGGCCGTGGAAGTATTCTTAGCCCCTATCCATAGGGAATTCCCATTTAATTGCTAATAATAATAATATTATTATTATTATTAAATCCTTATATTTTTTAAGATCATAGTCTTAGAGGTGCCTTAGACCTTACATATTTTAAAACTTTATTAAATAAGACGTACAACATGCGTTTGGTTTGGTTTGCATTATTAACTTATATATTTTTAAAAAATTAAAAAATTCATATTTGTAATTTTTAAATAAGTTATAATATAAGTTATCATCAAATGGAGAAAATTAGTGTATACTGATTGTACTTTAGTAAAAATCTAATATTAATTATCGTTATCGTAATACAATTATAAACTATGATGACAAAAATAAAAATTCTTTGGGAGCGTGAAATATGATTAAATGTACAATGTCATGCTAATTGTCAAGGATAGAAGTAAAACTGAATGGAAAAATTTTATGCAGTCGACACAGCCAGAAACGAGTAATTTTTTTATGATTAAATTTTTCTCGATGCGTCTTTTAGGTTCGTAGAGTATGAGTAATTCAAGAACAACTTATAGTATGTGAATAATTTTAAATTATCATTGATTATCACAATCTAATTGTTAAATTGGAAATAATAGCATTAAAAAGCACTAAAATTAGAGTATTCTTCAGATTAGGTTTACAATTTGAATTTTATTACAGTATATAGTTCTAAAATTTAGAAGAATAAAATTTTTTGTACTCACCAATCCTCCGAAAATTGGTGACGTAATGAAAGCTACCAATTCGAAACTACCAAAAACAAATCCATATTCCGTTGCAGTACATCCTTTTTTTTCAGCCTAAAAAAGAGACATTTTAATATCAATAGTAGTATAAAAAAATAGAAATAGAAATGAAGAGTAATATAAAATTTTAAAAAATTTAGCTACTATAGTTTCGGTCATTGAATATCATCAGGTTATCTAAATTGAAATAATATATAAATATTAATATAAAAAAACCCTAAGAACACATAAACGATTATGAAAAAACAATAAATTATAAAAATTATGTCATAATATTATATCTTGGTTTTAATTTTTTAATTTCTGTATTATATTATTAATATATAATAATAAAATATATCTATATTATTTATGTTATTATAATTGAGTATTAAAACAATTTTATAAATGAATTTAATATTAACTAACTATATTTTATTTATTGAAGCAAAATATAAATAATTATTACACTATTTATTATTTCATAAAATACAGTAATTAATTTTGTAAAGATCACAATTATTTTTATAAATATTTATTTATTTAAAATTTACGTTACAGTATGAAATATAATTAATAGATTTAAGAAAAAATTCTACTACACGACTATTTTACTGAGCAATATTTCTACAAAATTATATTGAACGAAAATGCATTTCAACGAATGTTTACTTAAACACGTGCTATTTTAATATCAAGTAAGAGTTTTTGGTATTATTAAATCTTCGAAAATAAAAAACTTGTATGAGAGCATAAACGTTATCAAGGGTCTTTAACACTAAGTTTTGTCACAGTCATCAGAAATTAATGAAAATAATACGCATTTTTATAAAGAAATACTTTTGAGGAGGCGAGAAATAAAATTAGATTTGTTAAAAAATTGTTGAAATTGAGCCTATATATATATGAAGAAATATCCATAAAGATCTGTAGTTTTTACTCTAAAATATAAGCTACTTCCATATTACTATGTTTCAAAATCTAATAAGTGACTACAATTGCCAATAAAAAAATGTTTTTTAAGTTTAATACTATTGTCCATAAACCTATAAAATTATCGCAATAAATTATGAAAATAATTCATTCTAAGATTTAAAAGATTGAGTACTTGTGAGTATTCAATTTGAATTTAATATTAACAATGAGTTTATGTGAACAAATAGGTTTTTAAACACTATATTCTTTTTTAAATTGTTTAGTAAAACATATAAATTTCTAAAATGGGAAAAATAATTTAAACTTTAGATTAATAGTTTACTATCTAATTAGAATTTAATTGTTGAGTATTTCAATAATTTTTTTTCTAAGTGAGTTTAAAATAGTATTTAAGTGTTATGAAACGACAATAGGGATCCTTGGTGATGTTAGATAAATTTTTTAAATGATAATCTCTTCTTCAGTAGATAATATTAGCAAAACGTTGATAATTCCCGAAGGTTTTGGGCACTATTAAGACGATAACAATACGCTTGTTCTTCACAAAATTTCTTACGAAAACGACTTATAACTTTAACAATTAAAATAAAATTTGATAGACAATTATTTTGACTTAAATTAAATCTATAGTATTTAACGATGGTATTGTTGATTACCATTTTTAACTATTGTAAAAATGTTTAATTGCAAAGAATTGAACATATGCATTTGTATATTAGGTAATTAACTTTTGCATAACGATACTGCAAAACAAATAAAACAAAAAATTGCAATGTTAACGATAATCATTAAATGCGATATTTTGAAAAAATGGCGATAAAAAAAATACGCTCTCTAATGGATGACATAGTTAAAAACCCATAAATTGACCAATTCCGAATGACAAATTTACAATATTAGTCTCGAAGACTGAAATTACTGTTAGTGAGATAAATAAATATATATATATATATATAAAAGAATTTAAAACAAGCGAAATAATCACGACGGCGGCTAATTTGCGATGAGCACTAGGGGAAATTTACTCGGCCTTCTTGTAATCAACTAACATGCTGTGTACAATGAAATGAACTATAATGCCAAGCCATTTGCATAACAAGAAAAAAAATTATGCTAATATAATTGAAGAAAATAAGTTATTCGCTTGGTTTTTGATGAGCCGGTTCGCTTATAATAAATTACAAAAAAAATTATATGGAAAAATTTTATTGATAAAATGTCCAATTGTGACGATTGTAAAAACACGTGTACGTATCACAAATTACCCACGTGTGCGAATTGTGAATTCAGAGTTCAGATAGTGACGCTTTAAATAACAAATATTAACATTGTGTTCAACTGCAACGGTGCATTGTTTTTTTTTTCGTAGGACATAGACTAAACACTTGAAAAACAAAACAAATATTTAAAAAAACATGTGTAATGAACAAGTTATGTTATAAATGCTTGGCTCTTCCGCAATTACACAACACAATTAATAGAACAGTGAAGTAGACGTTAAATCTATTTAATTTAATTGTCATTAGATTATCCAACAATTATTTTTGTCTTGAATTAAGCAATCTACAATATGATTTATTAGGATTTTAGCTATACAGTATTTACGACATGTAAAGTAATTATTTGTAATGTTATTTATAATATTTGATTATAAGTTCTAAATTTTAGTTTTTTAGTTGTAAATTTTATTAGACAAAGCTATCTCAATTTCTTTTGAAAAATGTTATATTTTTAGATGGAGTGCACAGCTTGTCAATAACATTGACAATAAATCGTAACATACAGTCAGCCTGTTTAACACAATTCCAACCAAAATGACAAATGGTATTAAATGCTACACAATGTAATCAATTATTTACAATATGTTCTACAATGAAAAAAAATATACATAAATAGTCAACATTTTTAGCTTCGATGCAAAGCAGAGAAGCTTTTTAATTCAAAATCAAAATCATTAGTGATTATATTATTTTACTGTCAAGGTTCTTTATGTTATGTCGCCGTAAAAATAGTTTCATGAACTCTCAAATATATGCGTATAATATTAAATTGATCTAGACTTGAAGCATTCAGATCAAATGATTTTATGAAACTAAAATATACGCCTATTGTTAAAATGTAAATAATGAAATTTTAAAAGGATAGTTTTTATTTTGTGTTCATATAAAATAATAGTTATTTTAAGAACTTTTTCAATTTCTGAATATGAAAAAAAAAAATTCCAATTATTCAACTTCTTAACGTAACTGTATATTTCTAAATATATTTTTATATGGAATGTTTTTGATATAATCATTTTATTGTTTAATAAAAAATGGAGTATTTATGTACTCGAAGAAATACGTTATTTCCGTTAGTTGCCTGAAAGTAGTATACAAATACAACTGTATGATATAAGACGACACAACGACAGAAAATATTATAATTGAATCGAATAAATAAATGACAATAATAAATGAGTTCGGTGTAAACAACGAAAATTATCATAAAACTATGGTAAACATATCAATCTGAAGTAGTAATGTAAATGAAAACGAATTGGTCCAATAGTTAAAATCATTTCTGTGTAAGCTTCTGATAATCAGTATTACAAGAATTTCCAAAAACTACTTAAATTAAATTTATTTGTGCAGTATAAAAATAGAAATGCACCTATTATACATGTTTTATGATTCTTATAAAATTACAAAAGTCAAATTATCGTTTAGAAATTAGAATCAACGTAACTGATTCTAGTTAAAAATACACATTGATTTATACCAACCTCTTCAGGATAAAACGGAGCTTGTAAAGATATACAAATGGCACAGCAAAAATGTACAGAGCCTACCACAGCCAAAATCATCCATTCTGAAGCTGAAAACTTCATGTTGCTGCTCGTTTGATGTTTTTATTAATGTTTTACAACCGTTTGTTTGGTACTGGCTAGTGATAGTTGAAAACCAATTCAGCAGGACAAGAAATATTTCTTAGATGTATTATATTTTCATACACTTATTAATTTAATACTGAAAAACAATGTTTCAATTTTAACAAAAAATAAAAAAGAAAAAAAAACAAAAAAACCCCGAAGTCACTATCGATGAGGTAACAAAAGTAATGTTCGCCGAACTTTGGCCAAACTGAGCATTCCAAACGGCGCCTACAACGGTCTACAACTGACACACGGTCAGATCGCGTACAAGGCACTGGCGTGTGTGTGTAATAACTATAATTTATTATTAGATAGTAATTGAGCGTACGTATAAAAAGAGAAAAAGAATATGCGGTGGTACCTACTGATAACGGACAACCGTCTGTTATGAGACGGCGAGCGACGTTGACGAGAGTACACTTGCCGTTATCAGTAGTTATCGCCCCACGGCCGTCGGCCACTGCTTGATCGGATGACCATCTCATCAACCGTTTTTTATATACGCCAACGATGGCTACACGCGATTTGACTCTGTTCAAGGTTCGAGTAGTATAAAGTTTCGCAATGGGAAATCACATTACCCGGTTCAGTGGATAGACATATTTTTAACTAGATTGATAATTATTGATTCACACTAATAAAATGTTACAGTATATTTACTCATTTGGCCGTTTCTAACCTTCTTTTTATCAAGATCCTTCATCGAATAGTGTAAAATGATTTTTGTAGTAATATGTTTAATTTAAAGAAACTTATACAAAAATAATGAGTATCAACAAATTTCACTTTTTCTCCGAGCATTTATTCTATGTAATGGATCGTGTAAAAAAAAAATTGGAAAACGTTCTTTAAAAATGAGGTAATTATTCGAAAATTTTGAAATATTACGACTTTACTTAAAGACTTTTTTTATAGTTTTCAATATCATAATCACGGTAGGGAAACAACTACCCAGGGAAGAGAGGAATAGTTGTTTAAGTCAAACATTTTACTGACATCTATCAAAACATACGTGTCTTAGTGCCTTTAAATAGAACTGTTTAAAGTCGTTTACCTTCAGTAAATAACTATTTACAATCTTGTTTACACAATAGAAATTACAATAAAAAAATTATTGTACGAAACAAGTACCTTTTTATAATGGCAGCAATGAACTTGAAATTTGTGAAAAAATATTAAAGTGTCACTTCTTTAAACAATTATATTATACACGTGTTTAAGACTATGGGAAATTTAATAATAACATCAATATCTTTTCCAACGCTAATTAATAATTACATAAACACAAAAGTAAGGAATACTGTTTTAAACTGTTGATTTTATTTTATTAAACTATCAGCTAATAGTTCAATTAATAGATTATTATCTGAAGTGCAATAATTAAGCGAATACATTTTTCCTACGCAAAATAATATATAATGCATTTAATGTAATTACTTATCGATCATTGATTTGACGTATATCATAATATATATTATGATGAAATTTAAAACTTTGTATAATATATTAACCTAAAAGTTTTTATTTGGAGTTATCCTGTTTTCGCTTAGCACGGCAGTATTTCAAAAAGGTTTAAAATATGTATATTCAAAAATAATGAAAGTTTTGAGAGGTTTTAACTGTAGGAACTCGAAGTCTTTTAGTTAACTTTCAGTTTAGTTGCATCATTAAGTATGTGATAGGTAAGATTTGTTTTCCGATGCTGTTTTGATACATTTAAACTCTTCTTTTTAGGCAGTAAATTTTACTTCACATTTTATATTTTCAACAGATATATTTTTATTAATAATAAACAATAAAATTGTTGTGACAATATAAGTGTTATTTATTCTCAATTTTAAATATTTTTGTACTAATGTTATAGTAATTTTAAATTAACATTTTTTACGTATCTATATTTATAATTATTGTATTTTTAATTAGTGTATTTACTGCTATAAAGGAACAATTTTATCAAATTTTTGGTAGGTCTAACTTAATTTGTTCACTCACGAAAATATTTCTATACAAAAACAACTATCGTTATTTATTAATTTTCGGTGGACTGTGACCAAATTTGAGAGGGCTAAACTCTCAGAACTGCCGATTGCGATAAAGTTTGCCTTGAATTTTAATTGCAAGTATTCTGAGTTTTTCTTAACACTTCTAAAGCATAAAAAAAGTTCGCGTTGTGAATGAGTAAGTCAGAATGTATTGTCCATTTTATGCCCACTTCATAGTTATCTAACGTGTTTATTTAAAAATGGTTTAGAATTAAGAGTTTTATTGACTCTCAAATAAATATATTCATAATATGAAGTATAAATCATATTAGATAATAATAAAAATAATCATGATTATTTTATATGTGTTACAATTTTTCTACTGTTAATTAATATTAATGACTTTAATAATAGCTATGGCTGGGCCTATTTATAGCAATAAGTAAGATTTATTTTTGACATCTAGAACTGAAAGTTCAATATGCATTTTATTATTGAAAATATTACAACATTTTTTGACGAAAATACGCTTTTTAGACTTTAAACTGGTAGTTCTGTAGATACATGCAAGTTACTATAGACGCACATAGAAATTTTCACTATTATTTACGTCAGCCTTTACATTATTATTATAATTAGATGTTTTTATTTTTTAGGCCACAGTGCACGTATATTAATGTTTTGGACCTTAACTTAAATTAAGATTTGTATCCAAATGTGTATTTTTTTAAGATTTAGTATTTATAAAATGTAAACATTATTGTACTATAGTAATAATACTATTACAAGTAAATAAGACTAAAAATCAAGTAAATCAATACACATTAAAATTTAGAAAACTTAAAATTAGGCTTTTATTAGTTAGCATATTTTTTACTATTTTGTTCTGTTTAACAAAATAAAAAAAAGAGTAAACGAATAAAATTAAAATTTTTTATTTTAGTTTATATTAATATGGTATTTAAAAAATGTATTTTCGATATTTAGTATCAAAAAAAAAAAAAAATCTCTTAGTAAGATTAATGTATTATTCATTATTCTAAAAATCTAAAGGATATCAAGATTTTAAGTGTAACTGATAATAAAATTGTATATGAAAGTGTAAATTTAATTACATCAATTAAATTCAAAATATTTAAGATAAATTTTCAGTTAGTAAAATTTGTACTTTTTACGGCTTGGTTTCTTATTTTTTGTTGATTTTTACTAATCAAGTATTACCACACAAAGTTCTAAGTAACATATTTTGCATAGAAATTAAGGTAAACTATCTAAAATTTATCTATATGGATTGTATTCGTTTACATAAAATATGACTAAGTTAAAAAACTTGGGACCCTTTTAAATGACTTAAACAAAATTTATAAATGTATATCATTCCTAGACCTAATTATAAATTAAAAGGATTCTATATATCAGTATCCAACAAGGTTAGTAGGATGAAGAATCATCAAAAATTATTATTAGATATCAAAATCATATAATTAAAAAAGGTTAACCTTTTGTATTTGAATTTTTAAAATTTATTTAAAAAGTTTTATAATTTTAGAAGCTTTAAATTTGTTAAATTTACGGACTTACCATTTTAATGATACAGTGAAGTTATGAAGCTAAGAATATTATTACCATTATTTTTTACTAAATCCCATGTCTCTTTAATTATTGAAGTCACTCTTATTAAAATACGTTTAGATTCTATAAAATTGAACAATCATTTAACAAAATAAAAAAAAAAAACTACATAAATGCACGTCAAGGTCATAATATAAAGTTAAAAAGTTTTATGACTTTTGTGCTGTTTGATCGATAAAATAAAAAATGTAATTTAATGGTAAAGTTAAAGTAATATAAATTAATTTGGTTTACATTTGTCGTACATGCATCGTTAAGTTAAACCACAGGGAATATTTTATTAACTTAATTATATATGACATCATTTGTCATATTTTTCTGTAGTTGTAATAATTTTCTATTCAAACAGAAAAGGTTTTTAAAATAAAAATATGAGTATTAAAAATTTAAATATCAGTTTATTTTTAATCGATGTAAACCATTTAATTGAAATTGAAACGTACATGAGAACTAATCAAACGTAAAAGTAATACCACAAATAATTATTTAGAAGTTGTTACTTATTACTTTTACTGTTATGACCTAAAGCAACAAGTTCAAGAGTGATACTTTACCTTGCATTAAATTATCGATTTTATGATAATCACGACTAACTTAATTTGTTTAAAGATGTTAATCAATTGTGTATATATTATATCAAATAAGTTAAAATTTTTATTCCAGATAAGGTTTGAAGGTAAAACAAACTAGTAGACTTATATCGCTTAACTTGATAAATTCTTCTGTTGATTTATATGTATAGGAATGTAAAAATAATTACATTTAAATATTAGTTTAAACATTTTATATGAATGGAATAAGATAGTATTAATTGAATTTTATTACCCTTATCTATTTGATAAAAGTGCTTTTGATATTGTTTATTATTTATTAAGTAATTTAAATCATATTGTAAAAATGTTATTGGGGTTTAAATTTAAAATTAAATAAAAATTATTTGTAATTTCATTGATAAATAGATTAAATTAGATATATCTTACTTATTTTATAATGATAAAGTCAATCTAGCTTAAATTAAGGTAGTCTTAACAATAATTTGAAATTTGAAAGATCCCCATAAAAAATTTAATAACACAATATACTAGCTGTAATTATTTGTTATCAAAAATTTGTTAATCTATAATACCATGTATCTTTTCATTAAATTATCTTAAAACACCTCACGTCTTTATTATATTCAATTTTTATAATTTAAATTTTTGAGGGAATATAATTAGTATTACGATTATAATACTAAATAACAAAAATAAACACATGATTTTTTACATTATTTCAATACAAAACCTCATTTTGATTAAAAGTGTAGATATGACATATAGTAGTTTATTAAACATTTTTTTAGTTAAAACTGAGATTACTAATAAATATATAAAAACCTAGCACAGTGTAAATAGTGTTAAATTTTTAGAATAAATTATTGAATTATTCCAAGCAATATCAACTTCTATTTTCTTGTTTATACTCTGATTACAAGTTTTATGATTTATTGGTACAATACACGAATAAACACTTATAATAGTAATTAAATTTAGTATGAAATAATTATTGAATAATTTAATATAGGAATTTTTGTGGGGAAATTATAAAAATTTATAGAGTTCATTGTAGGGTAACTTTTTTAATATTAGCCATTCGATTTCTCTTAAAATATTAATTATATTAAGTAAGTTCTTTTTATTTATTTTTTAATTTTATATATTTATTGATTTATCCATTGTTAAGTTTTTTTAATTCATCTCTTGTACCTTATATAAGTGTCAAATTAATTTTTTTAAATGGCAACATATATTATAACATAATAAAAAAATTATGTAAAGAAAAAATAATTAACTTGAAAAAATTTTATATTAATAAGCAGTTAAATTTTTTTTTGTCCCTTCAAGGATAAAATTTTTTAATTATAAATTTCTTAAATGGAACCCCTACATATAAATGAAAACTATTTTAGAAAAAAAAAATTACACACAGTTATTTTTTATCTGATCAACCGCTTGTCTGTTACAAAATGTAATGTTAAGTGATTTAAATCAAAATTCTATTGTTCATCACAATTTTATATACAGGAGTTTATATTTTTCTATGCTGTCACAAACTAATTTTTATTGACAAATATATAAGTATATCAATAAAAATTTACAACACGCTAAGAAAAATAATAATAGTAAATGCAAATTGGGGATTATTAATGGTGTTAGCTTTATTATTAATACCTAATTCCATCGGTTTGTAAGACAATCTATAATAAGGAAGGATCACTTTTTAGCCTCTCTTCGCAATAGCATGGCGACTATCAAAAAAATCGAATACTTCGATAATGTTTTCTCAATCATTACTCCATAAAATAATCTTTATTTTTATTGATTGATATACATGAAAAGCTTTAAAATAACCTTATAACATAATTGAAGTAAATACTAGTAAGCTGACAGTAGTACAGACCCGCAATGTTACACATTTTTTTCATCATTCAATAAGCTTTAACAAAACGTTAGAAAACTGGATTGAGTATAATACCAAAGAAGAAATAATATGGTCTCAAATAGTAAATAAACAAAGAAAACCTTCATGTGTCCCGTATTCAGTTTTATAAAGCAATTAGCTTTAAATAATTACTTTGTTAGTGATAAGTTTTATAAAATCATGCAAAATAATTTTTTCTTCTTTCTTATCGAATAATTTTTTTCATAACAATATATAGATAAAAATTTAAATATTTTTTATAAACCATTGTAAATGTCAGGTTTATCATAAGAAAAAAAATATCTTAAGTGTAGATTTTATGGATAATTATAAATAAGTCAAATGGGAATCTATTATTATATTTTACTATTAAATGGAATATGGTCTATATAAATTTTTGTCTAGTCGATAATCAGTTGTGTATTATTACTTTTTGAGATCTTATCATTTAGGAATTAGAATAAGTTAGAAGCGGTTGTATTTAGAAACATTCTATTTTTACCATAACTCACATAAAAGAAATCTTCTGCATTGCACGCCGCGATTACTGAAAACAACTCAAAGAGTAATCTAGAATGGTTATTCTAGAACGTACTTTAATAAGTCATAAATAATTTTACTACGAACAAAATTAGATAACTTTTATAGAAATGCATATATTATGTTCTCAACGAATACGTAAAATGTTGTACTATTTATATTTTCTGATAGGTTGTAAAAGTGCAAAAAGAAAGATTAACTAACTATGAAACGAAATATTAAAACAACAAACCTCTTTGTTTTCCAGACAAGTTGATTTGATTTGAGTATTTGTTACATTAAAATGTTTGTCTTTATACAGACTGATCGATTTATCATTGACAACTTAATTTTCCTAGAAAAATCAGAACATTGAAATTCTATTCTTTAAATTTGATTATTATTATTTATTTATTGATTATTGAGTGATTAAATATTTTTTAATTCTGTCCCTTATCCCTTATAAGGGTGCCAATTTTTTTTAATTGAATTATGCATATTTATCTAGTTTATATAATAGAAAATGATTCTACTAAGAAAATGGCTGTTGGTAACAACTTTCAAACCAGTATTTTGGAAATTATTAACACTTTAATAAAAAGACTAAAGATGAATTTTTATCTCTAAATATTTATGGACCGTATTATTCCTCCCACCGTAGTATAAAAACGCTAAAAATTATTAGTTCAAAACTAAAAATGGTACAATTTTAGGGGTAAAGAAGGATAAGACTAAATATTTTTGTGTTAATTCAAATTTCTGAAAAAAAATTAAGATATTGATATGTTTCTTTTAATGCTAACAACTCGATTTCTCTTAAAATAATAATTATGTTATTAAAATTTATTTTTTGGTAGTATATATATATATAATTCCAACTAATAAATAAATTTATCTGAAAATCAGAAATTTTGTTTATTGTACTAATAATTTAATGTGACGATTTAAAAAAAAAATGTAGAGATTATCTTAAAAAGTTGAAGTTACAATTTATTCATGTTAGAAAATTTTTGACTTTCTAAAATAATGGTATAATGCGTAAAGATCATTAAGCACGAAATCTACACAAACAAAAGTGACATAATAGACATTTTCTCAATACTTGGTATAAAATCATTATTAGTAACACATTTTTTGCTTTAATAAATTATTATTTGTACACAAAATATA